TAAAAACTCAAGTATCTGGCTGCCTCCCACGTGTAACCTATGTTGGCCAGATGTTTTTTTTTTCATATCTACTCCCTTTTGTTTATTACTCACATAAACTCGATAGACAAAATGGCAAAAACAAAAAACCGATGCATTAATTTTATTTTTTAAATCTATCCCGTACAGCCGACACACGCAAGTACGTAAATGTCGCGATGGTCCACGATATCCAAGAATTATCGTTACGACTCCGTTACGGGCTAAGTACACGCGTTACATATTTACGATTTAAACATAGTTCAGTATCTTTAATAGAACTCGTTCTATAAAATAAGGAAATTATTGTAAAGATCGGGCCGTAATTAAACTAAAATATTAATTAATATATATCGCGTCTCAAACCGTTATATTTTTTTTATTTATAAGTACTTCAGTAAACTACAAACAATACTATATTAGAGTTTAAATAAAACACTTTAACGGTTTAAAATGCGAAATATATTAGTTAAGCTTATTTAAAATTTATTTTAACTCGGCCCGACGTTTCGGATGTTTTTCAGCAGCCGTGGTCACGAAGAGACGGGGGGGGAAATAAGTTTAACTAATATATATCGCGTCTTAACATGTTAAAAGTGTTTTGTTTATTCTTCCGTAAACTGTAGACTACTAATTATAATACTATAATGGAGTTATTAAAAATACCTTTTTTACTTACATTAAAAAATGTATTAAGATTTAGTTTAACTTAACACTGCTCCCACACCAAAGTATCTAAACATTTCCGGTGCATAATTGTACTTTGACACTCGTTTTGTTAAAATATTTGTAAGATTAAGTCTATAAAACATTTCTGTGTTATGCAATATGTAAATGCATTCGATGTTGCACTCTTGAGTATAAAGATTGTGTACAGTCACGTACATATTCGATGTTGATGAGTTCTTTTAGTACAACAAAATAACATACACACAGTAGTTTAATATATAGTATTATGCCTAACGTTATTGTCTGTCGTGTACGCTAGTAGTACACATTTAAATAAAACACTCTTAACGGCTTAAAACGTGTAGTACCGTATCATACTTGAATTTGATATCAGAGACACCCACCATCTTCAGTTATGACCCCTTATGACCACGGCTGCTGCAGACAATCCGAAATATCGGCCGTAGCTAAGTTCACGTATTTAACCCGTTAAAATTGTTTTAATTATGCCTGTTTTTTTAATAATTTGAATTAATAATTGAAATACAATTAACAATATATATTTTAATAAAACATTTTGAGTGGGAGTACCCACCGTATCCACGGCTGCTGCAAAGTAGCAAACGTCGAGCTCTATAATATATAAAATAAATTGTATATATTAGTTAACTAATACATTTCGTGTTTGAAACCTTTGATTGACATGATTTTTTTGAATTATCTACTACTTGGGTAGAATACAAACAATACCTACATTTATTTAGAAACAACTTTTGTCCGTCACTGTACTAGACCTGCATTAATGTGTGGAGTTATTTAACTATATTAATTGAAAGTCGATATCAAATTCTACCATTGACTAATATATCGTATATTCCGCTTAACTAAAACTTAATATTGTATGGACCCATGAATTATTCATACAAAGACCCAAAGTAAGTAGTGTATCCAACCAACCTTTTCTTACAGTACGATACTTAAATTTACATAGTGTTAAATTATAAACAAAAAATCTAAAACATCAATATGATACCGTCTGTAGTATACGCGCGTAATACACATTCAAACAAAACACTTCAACGATTTAAAACGAAATATATATTTGAGTTTTTGAATCCAGAGTTGGAACTAATCCAAAAAACATACCGACAAACGCGAAGACATTGTTAGTTAATTCTGCAAGGCCCGGCCAGTTTCGCCAAGTACTAGCATCGACGGAACAGATAACGCTAGCGTAGCAGTTTTGATGTCTGAGACACCCTTCGTCTTTAATCTCTCCGTGAACGTTGGGCTGTAGTTAAAATCATTTTCAAATAAGTTTAACTAATTTTTATCCCCTTTTAAACCGCTTTTATTTAAATAACAGTAATTTTAGATACCTGCTTTTACTCCCATCTTTGGGTCTTACAAAATAGCAAACAAAAATAATTAAATTACAAATTATAATACATAAAAATAGGTTGGCCTATATTCTAAGAAGTTAGTTTGTAGTTTAAACGTATAATTTGTTTTTTAACTGCGATGTATTTTTTTTTTCTTATCAATGCTATATAAAGTGTAACTTTTTTCTAGGAATTCAAAATCGATAACTGCTCTAACCAACACAACAATATTTTTTTCAATTGGAACCGGTAACTAATTCCTGAGATTAGCGCATTCAAACAAACTCCTTAGCTTTATATATTAATATAGATAATATCCAGATTTATTACTTTGGCTGTAACATATATATCTATATAAGGATTATATTTTTTGTACATTTATTACGCTCATTTTATATCCTACTAGAATTTAGGAAACCTTATCACGTAATATATAAATATAACTAGTGCGGGATTCTCTTGAAGTTTATTACTTGTAAACATAGGTGTAAATTAACCACCTCGGTTAGTTTACATTCAAGAAGTTCTACGTGACATAGCCACACACGTCGTGGGGTTTGTATCTTTAGAAAAAGGAGATTCATATATTACATACATACTAGCTGTGTCAGCGACTTCGTCCGCGTAGAATATATATTTTAGGCATCATATTGTTTTTGCCACCGACCCTCTCAGCTTAATAAATTTAAGCTGTTACCTATGACGTCGATCGCGTCCCGTCGTTCTTGCATGTTAAATCTTGAAAGATAGACTTGCCGTGTGTTTCTCTGGTCGACGAGTCGCGACCTCCTTGATCGGCCCATTTGGGCCCTGCAAGGGGTGATCTATCGCGCCCTGCGAATACAGGGCGGTCCCTTGGGTCGTTGTCGATGTTTTCAGGAACGCCTCCGGCTCGCGCAAGCCAGCGGATATAGATGCGGGTCGGCGTTCGTGGTTGTAGGAAAGTTGGTCGCCGGCGGGAACTAGTCACTCGCACCGGCGTCCGGGGTGCACCGCGGGTAACACGCGGTTGCAGGCGATCGGGGACACGGGCGGGATAAAGTCGCGCGCACCCGTGTCCTGTGCTTCTCCTTCTGCATCGAGGCCGCGTCGGGGTAGAGCCGCATGGCGGTAGCCGGGCCGGGCCAAAGGGGCCTGTGGGCCTGAGGGGCAGCCGGGACGGGCCCTGGACGAGGGGGCGGTCGACCGGCGCTCAACCAGCAGGGCACGGCGCGACCAGTGGGGGGCATCGCAGCTACTTCGGAACATGCGGGGCTTCCTTCAGCGACCGGGGAGGGGCGGTCAAGTCGCAACTCCCGGCTTAGCTCGGGAGCGGTGGCCGCCTCCTGTGAATCTTCTCCTGTCTGCATCAGTGGCCGCTTCGGGGAGCGCGGCGAATGCGGGGCTTCCGTCGGCAGCCGGGTAAAGGTCTTCGTTGGGTGTGTGGATGTCCTAATATGCTCGGGTTGTAGTGGAATCGATAAACGTCCCATTTGCAACCGGGAATGGGTCCTCTTCGTCGGCGAAAATAAGTTGCGCCGAGTGGGGTTCTCCAGTCGCCTTGTTAGCTTCATTGAGGGGAGGGGCGCGGGGAGGGCGCATTACTCCGCGCGCGGCACAGACCCACCGGGTGAGACCCTCGGTAATCCCGAGGGAAGCCCAGCGAGGCATAGCCAGCGGCTGTATCGCTTTGAGAATGCGCCCGTAGGAATGCCGCGCCCCGGAGTCCTGTTCGGTGATGGTTTGCGATACATCGCGGCCGCAGCCTCAGGCAGCGGCCCGCCGATGTATCCGCGCACTTGATGCGCTCGTTCGTCCGGATGTCTGCGGTGTGGTGGTACGCAACGTAAACGTAAACGTAACGGGAAGCGTTGTGGTCAGGAGTCGGCTCGGTAAGGCGCGCGAACTCGCGTTAGCCGAAGCACAGAGGGCCTACAGGCACTGCCCTAGCCATGAGCCCGTTCCGACCCCTAGCCAGTCCGCAAGCGAACCAGAGTGGGATCGGTTCGGGAAGACGGCGGCGGCTACTGGAGTAAGTCTCCATGTGGCCAAGCGGATCTTTTTCACAAAGACGTAGAGCAGGTCTGCAAAGAAGACTTAGACTACCGCAGACATTTTCTTACATCATTTATTATATTAAGAGCACCAGTTGCTGTCGGTGGGCCAACGGTATTCGACCGGCGGGTTGCAGTCAGTTCACCAGTACTTTGGTCCATATGAGATCACGTGACCACGTCTGTTAATATGAAAAAAATTTTTAACTACGCATCGACATTTCGTATGCTTTGCAGTAGCTGTGGTCACGGGGAGAGTAAAGATGGAAGGTGTTCTTAAAGTCAAAGTAAAAATATGATATTTTAATCTATTTATTACACATTGAAATAAGTACACTTTTAACGGTTTAAAACGCGATATGTATTAGTAACATAACTAATACGTCTATTTCGCGGTTTTCATTGTTAATTTTTTTTAATTCAAAACTGTTACCTATAAATTCCAAACAATTCTTTGAACATTCAATATTATTTATTAAAACGAACTAAAAATCAAGCGTCCATAAAATTGAGAAGTTGGTAAACACCTATATATAATCTGTGGCAATAGCTTTACTTAAAAAAAAGGTCATCACTAGTTCTCTATGGTTTGAAATCGGCCAATTTGAATTTCTTGCAAGTTAGAAAAAATATACTATTTACAACTTTGACATTGACGTAAACATGCACAAAAACTGTCATAAACGCAGCTGTTTGAGCCTGGTCAGCTATGAGCTGATGAATGAAGTTGATTATGGGTGTCGCACGATGTTTTTTATAAGTTTCTTCGGTAGTATTAACACAGCATCTAGTCTTTTAGTTAAGTTTATAGTATGTGTTAATGAGGAACCTAACAGTATTACTCACAACTAAGAAATAAGTCGGAATTACTCATAATTGCACGTTTGCTGCTTTGAAGATGGAAAAATTTATGCACTTGTGTAACAAACTAAATACATTACGGTTGAGTACAAACCGTTGGCATAGAGGTTAGATATTAATAATTATTTACGGTGAATTATAAGGTGTTCTCTACAATAAAATATGCCTTGTCTATTGAGGAATTGTTTTATTGCAGCACTCTTTATATTTGCCATCGCTGAACTAAACTTACTACCTGGAGGTCAAGTTGGATTCCAATGTAATGATCCAGCACTATCACACCCTTACACTGGAGACACTGTCAACTGGAAATGGCTTATAGCTGTTACAGTACTTTTACCTTTAATTGTGGTAAGTAATGTTGTTTAAACTATCAAAGGAAGACAATAGTCACAATTTCTTTATTTAAAAAATTCTGTTTATCTTCTAGGTTAAGCATACTACTTTAAATTAGGTTTGACTGGGATTATAAAATAATAATAAATAAAAAACCCATTATTTACCTTTGCTGACAGTTAGAAATTCAATAAAATTTTACATAATTATCAAATTAAAAGTTATTTATTATCCAAATATGTGTGCCCTGACGTAACCCTCCCCTATTGAAAGTCAGACATCCCTCTTATATTTTGGTCATCTTCGCATCGCATAGTTTGCCTGCCTCTCTAAGTCTTACCTTTGGTTGCATACCACTCAAGACAGTGTTTGACCATTTCTCTCTTTTCAAGCGAATTATGTGGCCTGTCCAGCGCCATTCTAGGTATCTTGCGTTTAGTTTGACATCTTTTCCTTAATTTAATAATAAAAATAAATTGAAAAAAAAATCCAACTCAGGCAGTGCTTGAACCGGCATCGTCAGTGTTCCGTGCTGTTGCTCTACCAAGTCCTTATCTCTTACTTGAGTCCTACTCCTTACAGTTCTAAGCTTCACTTGTCTTTTAGTACTGACTGGAATTATTTTTGAGTCCAAATTTTTTTTTAATATAACTATTATTTACAGTTACTAGTCATTGAAAGGCAACAATGCAATCCAGATTTAGCAAAAAAACAAGCACTCTTTTGGTACAAAGAATACATGTATGGATTTCTCTTAAACATCACCGTAGTGCAGACATTAAAACTACTAGTTGGTTCACCGAGACCACACTTCTTTGATACTTGTGAACCTAAAGAAGCTCAAACATGTGAAGGGTGAGTTTTCAATTAGGCAGTTTAATTAGGTTTTATTTTTCTTACATCCAATTAATATATTATACAAATGAACAGTTTATCATTAAAACGAAGGCCCATTCATTGTTGTTTCTTCATTGACATTCATTATATTTTAAATTAGACTTTATTATTTTTCTCATGTTAATTACAATCTAGATTATATAAATTAAAAACTCAACTTACATAAAAAATATATATAACAAGGGCAAGAATTGAAATGGAATCCATAACAATCTGTACTGCTTTTTTCAATCTTAATAGATTGTAGGTATAATTTAAATAAAACACTAACGGTTTAAAACGCGATATATTAGTTAAACTTATTTGAAAATGATTTTTAACTTCGGCCCGACTTTTCGGATGCTTTGCAACCTACGGCTTTGCTTTTTAACCGTTAGTGTTTTATTTAAATGTGGACTACTGTTAATGTTGTGTAATGTCTATAGTTTACGCGATTATAGGTATAAATTTTGTTTGTGTACTGTATGAGATCTATTCTATATACAGGTCAGAATATGTATCAAGTTACACATGTACCACAGCACATTGGTTAAAGCAGTCGAACAAGAGTTTTCCATCTGGACACGCATCTCTTGCTATATATGCCGGTGTATTTATTGCTGTAAGTATGGCATCCCTATCTAATGGTATAAAACAGTTTTTAAAAGCTAAAGTATAATTTTTTATCAACAGTATTACCTACACCAGAGACGAAGTCAGTTAAACTCTCGAATGGTAATCTCAGCGCAAGCGATCAGTCTAATGAGTGCATTGCTGTGTAGTGTATCTCGAGTGTGGGACCGCAGACATCACTGGTGGGATGTATTTGCTGGTGGTTTAATAGCCTTGCTGCTTCTTCTGTATACGGTATGGCTAAAGAACATTAAATGTTTTTTCTTTATGTTAGAAATACGACAAGTGTGGGGTCCACTTGATGGGAAATACCCCAGCCCTAAAACATTTACACAAGATGTCGACCTGTATTTGGATATCATGATTTCTGCATTGGTTACTATTATATAGTTTCCGATTTACTGCCCTATTTCGAACCTAGGACCTGTGGTTGAAAGTATTTTAATTTGTAATGAGAAGGGACAATTGTGTGTAGATGACATATCTGCTAATACATTTTCAGGTATTAACTTAATAATATTTTTTTGTAGATATTTCACCTCTGTCGTAATTTTGAATCTCGCATACCGAAGACTGGAGTTGTTATAAATACTCAATCAATGGTCGGTGAAACTAAGACCAGCAAGAACACAGGTGACGTTTTACACTGACCTTAGTAAGCGTTCTTTGTTTAGTAGGATCATTTGTGAATATAATACTTAGATACTCCAAGAACATGAAATGTGTATTGTGTCTCATTCGTACCTTAAGGAAAATATATTGTGTGCTGTGATCTAAGTGTGAAGAAAAATATTAATTGTAAGTAGAAACATTTTTGGGGAGTGTGTATAGGAGTTAGGTTGACAACCTGGGAGGAATAAGAAATACCATTTTTTGGGCTGACAACGCCGGCCTTTATTGTGTGCCCGCAATAGAGTAATGATAGAAGTGACCGTTAGTTGTGGCTTGTATAAGTCTGATATAATATCTTGTAAAAAAGTTGATCAGTGGCCCCACGGCCAATAACAGGGTTAAGGGGTAGAGGGGGGGGGGTCGGTGTATATATTTTTTTTTAAAGATAAATTTGAATTATGTCCTGCATTACACCTGCATTCCATTTACACAGTATTTTAGCTTTAAAACTATAATCTATGTACACATTTAGAATGTAAAAAATATGTCAATATATATTTTTGGACGCAATAAAACTCATTTTATATTGTAAAATTATTTTATTTCAATCACATAAGTGGAGCCAAAATAAAGCGCATATAAATGCAACCAATAAATAGAGTATTACAATAATTTATGATGATTCTGAATAGGAATTTTTGATTACAGTCGCCTTTTTTTTTGAAAAGTTACACTCAACAACAAAATCAAAGCAACCGAGTGATTATCAATATCTATACTACCCGCATTTTTTTTAAATTGCAAGCATGGTATGGTACGAAATGACATGCGTTTTGAATATCCAAACCTAATATACAAAAAGATAATAAATACTAGCATAAACTAATAGTTTTCTAAACACCCTATAAGATCTTCTTAATATTGCATGAAGCTAATTGTTGAAAGAGTTTTGGAAGTTAACCGTCTAATATGAGTCAAAACCGAATTGAACAACTCCTTTGTTTAAAACATCATTATGTTTCACACGTTTAACACAAGTTTTCCTATCATAGTATTACATAACAAAAATCCATTTAAATTTAAAAAAAGATTAATTTTAATAAATTGTGTAAGGCTTTCACGGCCATCGTGCAGCATATCATTCTCTTTTGGGCTGTTCGCCATCATGTGTGTTAAGCTAATTTTTCGCGCAATCGAGGAGTTAACATCTCCTGATGATGCCGTCGAACGTCATAACGAAACGAAAGCTAAGCATAGGACATTGTGCCACAATACTTAGAAGTTAGACATTAGCGCGACTGGTGCATATGTAGCTTGACAGAAAATATCCGAAAAAGAATTGATCGAATCATCAAATTTTCAAATAGACTTCCATTTATATAAAACTTATCTGTTACCAAAGCATGATATTGGTAAAATGTTACATCGTAACTGTAATACAGATTCACAAAGACCAAATTTTTTGTAGGGTTTCCTAAAATACCTAATGACATTCTATCTCTTCTTAAGTAATAATCGCGATGGGACTACTTCAACAAATGCGTGTCATCCGAAAGCGACTTGTCCTGCACCAGTTTGCTGAAGTGTTCAATGAGTCCCTCTATAGACATCTCTCCGTGAACTTTGTTGTCTCGAGTACGCACGTTCACGGTTCCCTTGGATTTCTCTTTCTCGCCAACAACTGAAAATTTCAAATGAAAATTACTAAAGTACTACTTTTGAAAACTATATTTTTCACATGATGGCACTATATAAAGAATGCGCGAGAGGTGCATGTAGCAATAGATTGAAAAAAAACGACGAAGACGTGTAGGACACGGTGGCTCATTTGGTTAGAGCTACAACTCGGAAGGCTGTGCATGCAAATTCAGGTCTTGCCCGTGTCGTAATTTTTTTCTATAATCGATTTAAAACACTTCTCTTTTATGACATAGAAGGACGAAAAATACTCGATGGAAGGTGAATGATAATTAATATGCCTTTATTTATAAAGTCAGTTTCGGTAGAGCTTCTGGTGCTCCCAGCTCCCATTCTGTTGACATTAGAGGTAGGTGGTAAAAAAATTGTGTTTTCATTATAAAATGTATTAAATTGATTAAAAAAAAATACCTAAAATATAGTTGAACTGTGCTAGTTGAGCATTTCTGACTTTCTTGTTAAGAGTATCTCCAGCATCTGTGTCCGCCTCGGAGAGGAAGCCAGCGGCAAAAAGCTTGTCTTTAACCTGAAGAACACGATTACTATAAGTAAGGCACCTACAAGGGTATGTTATAGCTTATTACATCATATGTTTTTAATTATAGGCTTTCCAAAGCCATTATACAAAAATCCTTAAGTTTTCAAGCTATTGCGTGTTCTTTGATAGGAAAAATATGAAATATATTAGTTAAATTATATGACGTCGCTAGAGACAGAGTAGCCTAACTGTAATTTTATGATTTGAGCTATTTATATTTCCATAGTTTAAAAATGTTAATCTACGAGAGCTGTGATCGAAAATTGTTAACATAATTCTTACACAAATAATAGTACAAATACATTATCGCATAAGTTAATTGCGCATTTTTATTTTCCTCCTTATTAAAAATTATGTTTTTTTTATTAGGCCACTTTGGCTCTAGCAGACTCATATTTTATTTATTTTAACTACGGTTCGATGTTTCCGATGCTTTACAGTAGCCCCGGTCACAGGGAGAACGGGGGCGTTCTTATTATTACGTATTAAATTAACATAAGTTACTACTAACTAATATATTTCGCGTTTTAAACCAATAAATGTATTTTATTTAAAACTTCGCAGTCATAGAACACGTAACATCTGTGACGATGTCATCTACTCGTGACGTCGATATGTCGACAAATGAAAAGAAGCATGTATTACAATTATCTTTTTACTTGGCTGTAAATGCCCGCGACCTTGATAGCGTGAATAATGACTTAGGGTAGATAATTTTTAATTATTTAGGTTCTTTATTAATTTATGTAAGCAAATCTATGTTGAAAGTGCTAATTCTTCCGCAAGACTCTAAATGCGACCTCAAGTCCCAACTCTAACTCCCTCTCCGTCTGTTACTCCTATTCTCGAAAAAACAAAGAAAGAATTTCAATGATATTTCTTCACAAACCACGATTTAGACCCTACAAACATTCATTCCCTTTATATTCCCTTAAAACCGCCTTTCGCAAGGGGGTAAAAAGTGGCCTGTGGTTCTCTCTCAGGGTCTGGACCATTGATGGTTTTTGTACCTAAGTTCTTTCAAATCTGTTCAGTGGCTTTTAGACTGACAGGGAGATAGGAGTTAGTTTCGCATTTATGTAGTTAGTAAGGGTTACGGCAAAGTAAACTTGCACAAGTGGCTCGTAATGCGCAATACATATTAATTAGCATATATAAATAATCTTTGTCCTAGTCACTACATATGAACTAAAGTACAGACTAGTAAAAAAACGCAGAGGTACATAGTACACACATAACAAGTGGGAGAGAAACTAACTTAAATATTGGAAACGTAAAACTTAAAAGAACTTAATATACCTGTATCGCATAATCGTCGAACATGGGTCCAATCGGTACAACGCAAGCCTGCCTTGGACTCAGCCAGAACGGCCACTTGCCTGCGTACGATTCGCTCAGGATAGCAATCATCCTCTCAACCGAGCCCAGAATGGCACGGTGGATGATTACCGGCCGCTTCTTGTCACCTGTTTCACTGAAAACAACATATGTTGTAAGAATAACTCCAAGATACTAATAAATAAAAATATTATAAAGCTGAAGAATCCGTTTGTTTGTTTGAATGTGCTCAGTGCTCAGGAACTAATGATTCGAATAAAAAAAATCTTATTGTGTTGGTTAGAACATTGACCGGGGAAGGCTTTAGCGTATAAATATTGGCCGTCCCATTAATTTTGTTTACGGACAAATGGTTAATTAAAATTATGTCTTGCCCGACTGAAATAAATAACGTTTTTAGCTATTGAACCTGCGGTTCAGCTTAACATCATCAATAATTGACCATTGAGAATTACGACCTTTATTCGATGGACTTTATATTTGTTCTTTCTTTTTTTTATTCCTTTATTCACTTTATACATAATATTACCTAACATAACTCAAATTGAATCTCTCTGGGAGCTGAAAATCGAGCTGTATAGTGGCACATTGGTGCGAACGGCGCAGAGCATCCTGTATAGTGATGTCTATCTTCGGCCCATAGAACGCGCCGTCCCCGGGATTAAGCTGCCACGGCTTACCAAATTTGTTCAGTGAGTCCTCTAAAGCCTGAAATATATAATAAATAAGTTTAACTAATATATATATCGCGTTTAAAACCGTTAATGTTTTATTTAAAACTATATATATCTAAGTACCATGTTCTATCTGAAGTTTACGCTAATAGTACACATTGAAATAAAATACTGGTTTCAAACTCGGAATATATTAGTATAACTTGTTTATCTATGATTTTAAGTTTTGGAAAGGGTCATCATGACCACAGCAGCCGCAAGCATCCAAAACGTCAGGTCGTACTTAACATAAATTAACCAATATAATTCGAGTTTTAAACTCTTAAAATTATGTCCGAATATCAAAAGACAAAATAGGTGGATAGCACACTTTTTTTTAGTTATATCGCATAGGTGTTCGTCTAACCTAACTAAACCATGTTTGTCTACCCTCCACTATATTAGAAATAAAATTTCAAAGATTAATTAGAATTTACCTTTTCAGCTTGATTCCAGGTCTCAAGATCTCCTAGATACTTCTCAGGTCGCGTAGATAGTTTCAGTTGGAAGCTAAAGCCGAAAGTCGTGTACACGTGCTCCAAGAAGTTTAGACAGCTCACCTGAAACAAAAAAAAATATCATTACTCAAGCAAGGGCAAGAAAAAGAAAGAGAGTGACAAGGACAACTTATATCTCTAAGTGTCCCTTTCATCACCCTTCTCAGCCTAATTCATATAGATGTGAAGATCAATAATGACTCACCATCTCCTGTTCTATATGTTGCGGGGCGCAGAATATATGCGCGTCGTCCTGCTGGAAGCGCCTCACGCGAGTCAGGCCGCTTAGGGCACCGCTCAGCTCATTCCGGTGTAGAACTCCGAAGTCTGCCAAACGGAGAGGCAACTCGCGCCAGGACCGAACGCGAGTGTCGAAAATAAGACTGTTGAGAGTTAAAAAGGGTATTAAAAACTTATTTTTAAATCGAGAATAAGCATGGGCATAATATAAAAACAAAAATAGGTCTTTGGATGTTCGGTGCATGCTTATCCCAGCCATATAACATCTAAACAAGATGCGATATCGTCCAATTTTGTTATTGGATATTCGGAAAACCACAATCTGAAACCGATATGCAGAACGTTTGTGACTTGGACCGAATTTCGATATTCCTACAAATCACTTACTATTTTCCAGACAAGTTTGAGAAGAATGACTATTGAATCGCTTTGAACCATATGCGAATCAAACCCACGACCAGTTGGTTATTAGCAATACATAGCTAATGGAACAACGAGCCCTTCAGTGTTATTATAGTACTTTTCTTACCAATGTCCAGGACAGTTCATCGGTTTCAGAGCAAAGGTCTCCTTCTCCACCTCAAATGAGAACATGTTCTCCGCATAATGGGCCCAGTGTCCAGACGTCTGCCACAATTTGGAATTGTACATGTTCGGGGTGACTACTTCTTGGAATCCGCGTACCCTGAAAATTATTGAATCATTAAATAATGAATCTATACATATATATATAAAGCTGAAGTGTTTTTTTGAACGCGCTAATCTCAGGAAGTACTGGATCGAACTGAAAAAATATTTTTGTGTTGGTTAGAACATTTATCAAGGAAGGCTATAAAACACTGCGCTATGACTAATAGGATGGGAGAGACAGCGGGAAATGTGAAAAAAACGTGACAAACTATTCACCCGATGCGTACGCGGCGAAAACGGTCTAAGGTACCAAAAAAAATATGAATAAACTTTTATGACAAGGGCAAGGACAAGACTTGAACCGGCATCTACATCGTTCCGTGCTGTTGCTATAACCAATTGAGCAACCGTGTCCTACACGCATTCGTCGAATTTTTTCAACTTATTGATAGATGCATCTCTCGCGCAATGTAATTTAAACCTTTACTTATAGTTAATTCTTACTTGACATCTTTAGTTACAATATGATATTTTTTAAGTTATTTAAGCAAAGCAAAGTTACCTATATTGGTCTCGGATGAATTTTACAAGCGTGTTGTAAATGTGAGCACCCCGTGGCTGGAAGAAGCAGGAGCCAGGCGATAATTCGTGGAAGAAATACAGCTCTTGCTCCTGAAAATAGAAATAACAAATTAATTAGCACTTAAAACATTACTATTTTCATGCTATTGTACATGGCAGGTACATTTGTAATTAAAAACTTCAATTACACGAGCTGGACTCAAACCTACGAACACAGCGTCCGTGATGCTGTTCTATGAATTGAGCTACCCTGCTCTTAATTTTTTTTTTCTCAAAAATACAACAACATAGTAATAACTTCAAGTAATTGTATATAAATCATTTCATATAACTTTCCCACTACGGGGCATGGGGCGAACACATTTCAGTGTCTTATTTCGACGTTGTTTAGTTAAGATAAGATGTTGTTAAGTTCCATTAGTCAAGGTTTAAGAATATGCAAAGCTAAAACACGTCGACAGAGCACCTTGTTAAGATGCTATACGCTATATATACTCGATTTTGTCTGTGCTCCTCTACCATTAAAAAAGATAAAGAAAGTTTTCGAGAAAGAATTCGAACCCCTCACGCTAAGCGCAACATCATCTAATAAGAAGGCCGCCAAACATTTGATGTAACGGAGCTAAAATTATGTACAATTTTATAAAAGAGATCTTTACCCTTCCAATTTTCCTGTGATCCCTTTTAGCGGCTTCTTCTTGAATAACTTCCCATTCCTTCAGTTGTTTAGGCTCGGGGAACGATACGCCATACATACGCTGGAGAGATTCTGCGTCTGCTTTGCCCTCCCAATAAGTAGCTGAATTCTGAAACCGAATTTTAGATTCATTTTAGATTTGGCCAGGCCTTGAACCTTATTAAAGCTTTTTTTATAGCTATATTTACCAAACACTATTAAATACTGTCAATAGTTTAGACATTTAAATAAAACACTTTAACGGTTTGAAACGCGGTATATAAAATAAACTAAATGCTTTCAACATCCGAAAAGTCGGGCCGTAGTTAAAATAATTTCAAGTAAGTTTAACTTATATATATCGCGTTTTAAACCGCTAAAGTGGTTTTCTTCATCAGTAAATTTTCTAAGTAGAAAAAAAAGTTATTGCTTTTGTAGGAGGTATTAAAAAATAACGACATGACTTTAAAAATAGGGGTAGGTGGTAGTAAGGGTGGTTATTTGATACCACTATGAAAAAATTGTAGTGGACTTAGAAGAATGTGTATTTAAAATAGCCGATTCTCATACAGGAAGTATAAACCATATTAAGATAAGAATTATAAATTCATCATTATAAAGTGCTATCTAGACATTTTGTTTTATCATTGTGACATGAGAATTTAAAATAATATATGTTATATACATAATTATATACTGTCTGTAGTTTACGAGGGTAGTACACATTTAAATAAAACACTTTAACGTTTTAAAACGCGATATATTTGAAAATTATTTTAAGTACGGCCCGAAGTTTCGGATGCTGAAACCATTTAGTTTAACTAATATATAATACCGCGTTTTAAACCGTTAAAGTGTTGTATTTAAATGTGTACACTACAGACAGTTACATAGTAAATCTTAAAAGTAAAATCGCGTTTCGCCACTGGTGCATGGGGCTATGACATTTCTGTATCCATTTCACAAATCGGTTCTTTTTACAGGCAAGTAGTTGAACGACCGAAACAGTCTTTTTCCCGGGATTTCGAACCTTGGACCTCTCCCGTTTAAATATTTAGTTACAGAAATAATGTTACAAACCTTAGTGACTTTAAAAGCCTTAACTTTCCCAGTATGCCTGACATGCGGACCTCTACACAAATCTATCAACGGCCCACATCTATACACCGTAGTAGTTGGAGTGTTCACTTTCTCCTTCAATATCCTCACTTTGAAGGGATTATAGTCAAACATCTCCAGTAACTGTTCCTTGGTCAACTCTAGGCGTTCAAATGGCTGTTTTTCTTTAGTAATCTTTTTAACGAGACTCTCAACACCTTGATAGTCGGCAGAGGAAATCTGAAAGAGGAGATACATTGAGATATAAGTGTAAAAAAATACCTTACAGTAATTAGCACCTAGCTTGCTCCGATGAAAAATTACAAATGAATAGTGACTTTTAAAGAAGCTATAAAGAAATAGCATAACATATTTTAATTTAGTATTGTCTGTAGTTCACTTTTACTAACAGTGAATATGTTTTTTTATTTATTCTCAACTTATTTTTATCTACAATCCATAACATTGGGTTGTAGATAAAAATAAGACTAATATATTTTTCATTTTAATTTGTCCAAAGCCAACATAGGTTAACAGTGCACCTTGGTTTACTGTTATATCAAACAGAAATTTAAAATAATATAAAAAGCTTTACCCCTTTCTCTGGATAGTGCATGTCATAGTAGAAACCTTCTTCTATTGGTGGACCATAACATAGACACCCTCCATATATCTGTAAATAAGTTGTTTTTAAAATTCATTTAACTTTTCATCCCCTGCAGGAGTCTTGGGTTTGAAACAAATATTTGCCAGGCAAACTACAGAAGACTGGTCAAATACTCCCTATGTATCTGACCGATTTTTAAATAAGGAAAATGGAAATTCACAAATATAAAGTACTAACTCTCTCCATAGCTTCACCCAGCATGTGTGCCGATGAATGCCAGAATACGGCCTGTGCATCAGTGTTGTCCCATCTTAAGAGTTCCAGCTTGCAGTCTTCTTCTAATGGTCTATCTAAGTCCCATAATACTCCATTCACCCTTGCGATTATGGTGCTGTCAGCTAGCCCTTGGCTGAAATTTGTCATAGTTACTATTTTGGAATTTCAAACTGCCCAATTCAGTTAGTGTTTCATTCAGGATTTTTTTGGCAGAAGCTTTAGTAATGTAAGAAAGAGTAAGTAAAGGTTATTTCCAACTTATTAAAATTATTTTAGAATTGTATTCAAATTGTAGCCAAAATATAATAAAAGATTGTTGTTTGAATAAATACTTACTATTTGTTCCAAAACTCGCTTGGTAGGAAAAAAGGTGGAAAATTGTTTAAAACTGATGAAATTGTGGACTTACTATGACTCATGATACTTTTCCACTTATTGTACTAGCATAAAGCATGTGCAAATAATTTTATGAGCTGAATTTTAAGCCATAACAAAATATTAAGGAATTAACATTGTATGGGGATATTATTGTTTCTTTATAAGCACTTACCTGATTCCTTTAGCTACATCATAAGGGGTAGTCCGCCATGCTTTGGCTTCCACAGTTTTTCCATCTGGTAAAGTCACAACTACACTAACATCGGGCTTAGAAGATAATTCTTGCTCATAATTTGCTCTAAACTTATCCCAAAGATCTAACCGCTTCTGAATGTATTCTGGCCAAGGGTTAAGTTCTGAAACTCCATTTGAAGCTTCCTCCTTTTTCTTCTTTTCTTTCATGGCTTTTGCTTTAGACTGTAACGTATAGAACATTTTAATTGCTCGCACAAGGATATAAAACTCGGTATACTATCTAAAGCAAATCTAAAGCATTTTTACAACAGTAATAATTTTTTTTTTATTGGAAATATTTGTGGCATTCTTATTAAATAAATAAAAAATCTTTCTTAATTACATCATTGAATTTCTAACGGGAATAAATTGTAACAATACCAAGAAATCACTATATTAGATATTATGATGACGACGACAATTTGTGAAAGGGCAAATTTCAAAAGGCGGACATTTGATATGAAAGATAATGAACCACTATGTTTTTTTGATATTTTTTGTTTTTACTTTACATATTTACAAACCCATGTGGCGTAGCCTCCTTTAAAGCGCACCACGCAGGCCTTACGAAAGTTCACCAGATTTAACATCACTCTATTATTAAAGTCTAACAACTCTAAATAGATAAAATATATTCTTAAATTATTGCCTTTTCGTCAATTTTAACATTTTCTACACCAGCGATAACCGCATCACCCATGTTGAATTGTTGACGTTACAGTTGGTTAAAATTTTATCAAAATTTCACGAAAACTTCGCTACAGCTCTTATATTTTATAACCTATAATAAAATTAGTCGGCAGTCAACTTAGAGAAATGTCACATCGTGACTTTATTAGTGTTTGACATTGACATTTTTTTCCATTTCTGGCAAGAAGAATTAACTTTTATTTGCCAGGACGTTGACATTCTGTGATATGTTAGTGGCAAATAGGTTATATTTATTTTAAGACTGATACAGATTATACAGATATATATTGAGAAGTGCAAACAAATCTTAGGTGTCGTGCCAGTGTTTTAAATGCTACTTTTTTATCACGCTTTGGGCTTTGACTCATTATTAAATACATTTGGAATGGGAGATCGTGTAGGGTAAGCCTACAAATTAAGAAGAAGAACATCAATCATTAGTGGTTTAGTCTGTAGTTATAAAAATCATTGGTTGTTAAGAAATATTGACTTTTGAAAACTTTATTATTTTTTACATGTTATTGCACATTGTTGCTCTACCAATACTCGACTCGGTAGCTCAATTGGTAGAGCAACAGCACGGAACGCTGACGATGCCGGTTCAAGTCCTGCCCGAGAAATAAATTTTTGCAATCTATTTTTGATTTTTTAAATATTGACTTTTTTACTAAGATTCTTATTGCGACAAATTAATTCACAAAAACTAAGGAATAACCTATTTATGCTACCTCCTCTAGCTCTAAGTAAAGTACTTGGTAAATAAATATTTTATATTTAATATCTTAAATAGATAATAAAGATTTTGATTGGTTCCTTGCTTAAAAACTTTTGTAAATGGTAGTAAATTCTTTAAAAAATTAAAAAGAAAAATGTCATTCACTGTCTAAATGTGCTTAATACATTAAAAAATGTAGAAGAAATTGTAAAAACCAAGTTTAGATCAAAATTTTTTGTTCTATAACATGTCACTACAGCGATCACGACCAATGGATACTTTACAAAGAATAATGTCGTCGTTCAAGCACTTTGAGAAGAAACTGGATAAACTTCAGGACGACGTAAATTTTCATGGTCACACCTTAACAGAACTTCGAGTTATGGTTGCTAATCTTTCTGGGGGTATCCTAAATGCTGAAACTAAACAAGAGAATACTAAACATTCCGCGAACAAAACAACTGCTGTGCAACCAGACGACCCAATTAACAGTAACGGGGTGATGAATACTAAAAGAAAAAACACCATACAACCGTTTATTTCTAAAATCCAGACAAAAAGTTACCAAGGATCAAAATATGTATCGAAGAATAATGCTAAGGAGGTCCCATTTATTAATAAGTTGCCATCCAGTCCTAAAACCGGTATGGGGGGTAAACGAGCGTCCAGACAGAGAAAAGGGGAAGCCCCACGTAAGGCCACTACGTTAAGAAGTCAAAAAGAAGTAGCTAAGAAGCGCAGCAAAATGCCTCAAAGCATTTTTGCTTAAATTATTTATATTAAAACATATTTTATTAAATTTGGTGTTAGTATGGCTTGCAAAAAATACGATATATATTGTACAGGATTACTTAAATATTTAAAATATAAACGATAAAGTAAAATTCTATCATTTATTATTACGAACAACAAAGCAGTTGCATAATGTAAACATAAGTATACATTGCATTTAATTTTGATTTTTGTACAAAAGTTTCCTCGACTTAATCTTATGATCTAATATCTCAAGTAGACAAATGAAAACCGATAAAGCTATGCCATACAGTAGGAAAAACAATACTGGACGTAAATTCAGTATACTGACACTGGCAAACATGCTATTATCATTACTACATTTGGGCTTTGGAACCATGAGGCGTCCATGCAGTGCAGATTGAATACCACATTCAGTAACACGTTTTATACTGCAAGATAAGAATCAAAGTTATAGTTACAGTAGTATGTTATAGAAAATATAGCGTAAACTTCGTTAAACATTTAAATAAAACACTAACAGTTTAAAATGCGATATATAAATTTATTTGCAAATTATTTTTAACTACGGCCCGACGTTAAGGATGTCATGGTTACGGGGAGACCATGGCTAAATTAAATTAATTTTTAAATAAGTTTAACGAATATATTTCGCGTTTTTAAATGTCAAAGTGTTTTGTTTAAGTGTCTAGGTACTACTCGCGCAAACAACGGACAGTATATCGTAATATTTTCTGGTACATACGTATCAACGCCGCCCCGGCAAAAACGGCAATTGATAACCAAATGCGTCGGTTAGGTTATGTTAGAACAGCTATATGGACACGGGGGGAGAAGCCCTCCGCTTAAACTGCTGCGTCAATAAATTAGGTTTAAGTTGTCCACACTTGCTAATTTTTTGCCGCGGTGGAGTTGATACGTAAGTACCCATTTTCTATATGATTAGGGTTAACTGAAAATCCCTGGATAAGGTCACACCAAAATGCGATTGATCTATTTTGGCCTGGACCTTCGATATCGTAGATAGTAAAATTACTAACGCCACTTTCAAAAGCTCCAGATATGGAGAGTCCTTCCGAATAGGCACTAGTGGATAACGCGACTTCATGTAATCGACTTCTCTCAAGTCACACTTTTCGTTTTCATAAAATGTTTCTTCTACACGACGACGGATAGTGTCTATGTCGCCGTGATAAGCGAAAAATCCCTGTAAATATAATATAAGGTTAAGATAGTATGCGTTTACATTCGTTGGCTTCAAATTAAAAATAATGTATACAAGTAAAATTGTCACTAGTTCAAATTAAGAACATAAACAATGAACAAGAAGAGTTGGCAACAAACTCGCCGGTATATCACCAAGATTTCTTTTTAGTCTTTACATACTTAAAAGAGTGGCAAAAATATGCATGCAATGCATATATTATACTCGTACATAAAACCATCGCCGTTTATATTTGTAAGTAATTCACTAAGTCGAATAAATTTTAATGCAAAATCATGAATCTCTTTTGCATAACAGCGAAACTTGTTTAAATATAATAATAATAAATTTAATTTTTAAATATTTAAATACAGACCTCCCGTATTCTTTTAACTCCTTCGTCGTTACTATAAAAATGTGGTGGGCCCTTCGATGGAACGATTTTTTTATAATATCCGCCTCTACCAGAGTCGTTGAACAACTGAAATTTTATAAACTGTAGACTTTAAACCCATCCAGACTCACGGCGAAAAGGGAAGATTCAAATTTTAAGAACTAAATAATCAATGGTCAAGTGTATACAGAGTGTAATAGTCAATTGTTTTTTCTTCATTAACTATTTAAAACGGCCGTGTAAAAAGCGTAACGAAATGGATTGTTTTTATCTATTTGGCTCAAAGGCTACGACTAGGCATTGTTTTATTAAAATATAATAATTTAAGAATTGAGTCCTTTAAAAATACTTCCAAACAACTTATATTTTTACTTAGAAAATAATATTTAGATGGCTCTCATACTTAGACTCTGGCAGGTCTTGAACCGGCATACACAGCGTATCCGTGCTGTTGCTCTAACAAATTAGCTACCGAGTCCTACATGTCTTCGTCGCATTTTTTCAACTTATTGATAATTTGTGCGCTTTGGAATTTCATCCGTAACACTTACGTATTTATTTAGACTGAAACACTTTCTACTCAAGCGTCTACGCCGTTAAAAGGTGTTTGTTTAAAAATAATTTAAAGTCGTAAAAGAAAAAGAATTAAAGCTAAAATACTTTAAAAATGAATCGGCTATAATCTGCGTCGTTAGCGGAAAGGGTCATTCCTGACTCCAGCAGTTCCTTCGGGTTCCGAATTTCTGGAGCAGGTGCTTGCAAAAGGACTACAATATTAGCTGAATACGCGGCATACAATGACATAAGATTCGTGAAAACCACCCAAAGCATTATACGCCCTGCAATAAAATCGTATTCAAAATTATCCAATGTGTAGATAAATCAAATATTTATGAACTAGCTGTGTCTGACTTCGTCCGCGTAGAATATTTCTTTTGGGCATCAATTTTGTTTCACCTCCTCTTCATCTTTTTAAACGTGATCATTTAAAGAGGAATCATTCTTTCGTGTCTAGTCTACGACAGTATATCCTTTGAAATTAACATGCAAGAACAACAATAAGAACAAACGTTTTCTGGATCAGATAGTGTGTTATAATTTGTCCAGTTCTCTTTGAAGCCCCTTTCTTTCTAGAAGTCGCAGGCACACGTTGTACTAACAGGAAAATGTGATACGGTTTGTTAGTTTCTATAATAGTATACCTGATAATCCTTTGGGTTCCTTCGAACAACCTTGCTGGCTTAAAGCACTCAACGTCAAAAGAAGGGCGTCTATTACAGTTCCGTCGAGCTGGCTCGGATCCTGAATATGAGAGACGATACCGTACATACTATATCATACAGAAAATTAAAAATGTCTATCTTTTATCACACAGATGGGCAATGGATGTTGAAATGGATCACTGGGTGTTAGCTGAAATACCTCAGCTACATGACATCAAAATCAGATGTCCTATTGACCTATTTTGTATTTAAATATTCAGAAATGCACAGATTGAACCTAAACACGACTACGCCTCACGGATTTTTGATCTGTGATGGTAGTTCGTGATAAGGATGAAATTTCGATATTCCGACCGCCCATTTATCATTCAGAATTTATAGATGAAGTCTAACAGTTTAATTTTAGACTATTTGGGTGTGAATAGGACCCACGATTATTTTATAGAACCATTGGACCACTGAAACCATCAGAAGTGAAGAAGCAAGTTAAGTTTTAAACAAATAAACGAAAGTACATATACACCGATAAAATTAAAAGACATTCCTTTAGTTATATTGTACTTATAGAGCCCAAAACAAAGTTATGTTTAAATACTGTCTATAGTTTACGCGAGTAGTACACATTTAAATAAAACACTTTAACGGTTTAAAACGCGATATATTAGTTAAACTTATTTGAAAATGATTTTTAACTTCGGCCCGACGTTTCGGATGCTTTGCAGCAGCCGTGGTCAATAAACAGCATACCAGCAAACGCGAAGACACCGTTAGTCAATTCTGTACGGACCCGGCCAGTTTCGCCAAATACCAACTTCGACGGAACAGATGGCGCTAGCGTAGCAATTCTTTACGTTGACGTCAGAGACATCCTCCATCTTTAGTCTCCCCGTGACCACGGCTGCTGCAAAGCATTCGAAACGTCGGGCCGAAGTTAAAAATCATTTTCAAATAAGTTTAACTAATATATCGCGTTTTAAACCGTTAAAGTGTTTTATTTAAAAGTTATGTTTGTTAAATTTTAATAATTAAAATTAAAAACTGTCTGTAGAAGAAGATAGTGTTCAAGAGATGATAATTTGAAAAATGTTACCTGGCTAAGTCTCCTTGTTTCCCACTTAGTAGCCAAGTAGATGGTGCCAGTCGAAATAACGAGAGATACTATGATGGCAACCCAGACCGAAAGTGAGAATGGTAAAGCGAAGACATTAGACGTAGACGATAACAACGGTTGACGGAAAGCGAACTTGAGTTCGAACCGGCTGATGCAGTCTGCGAAAACGATTACCTTTGTCCGTTCCGCGTTTGCTAGACAATTTGTTCCTGTGGAAAGACACAGAAGTACTTAGCATTTCTTCTTGTGAAAATGTTATTATTATTTTTGTGCTGTGGTTGTGCTGTCGAAAAAAACACTAATCAAGCAATACCAATTACTATTATAAAGCTGAAGAGTTTGAAACAGGGATCATTAATTAATTAAACCGTTTTCATAGCCCACGCAACGGAAACCTTGAAAGATGAAAATTTTCCCCGTTTTTTCCACATTTCCCACTGTTTCTTCGCTCTTATTGGTCGCAGCGTGATGTTTTATACTTTGGTGCCTTCTCGATAAACGCTCCAACCAACACAACAGGAATGTTTCAATTCAAACCATTAGTTTCTGACATTAGCGCGTCCAAACAAACAAACAAACTTTTCAGCTTTATAATAATACTATAGATAGTGTGCGAATTAAAGATCTATTTAGATTGAACAAAATACACGAGCGGGACTTGAACTGATTGATTTGACTATTTTCCATCAAAATCGTTTTTTTTTTATCTAAATAATGCCATCATAATATGTAGTCTTCAAACATTTGTAATTTAACCAACAAAACCAATACCTATATCCGCTTTGCCAATCCTCAGATCGTTAATCATGCCAGACCACTGACCATCTTTGATATAACCCCATCTATAGCTAAAAATATATCGAGGTGTCGCGTTCAACACACTAAATGTCGTTCGGATGTGGCTCCAGCACAATTTTGTCATTGCGTCGTATTTCAGTTCTCTAAAAGATGTTAATACGTAACTGTTAGTGAATAAGTAATTATGGCATACGGTTTACTTGATGAAAATTGAAGGACCCCAGGCATATAACATCTAAACAAGATGTTATATATATTTTGCCTTTGGATATTCCGAAATCCACAGACTGAATTGCGATTAAAGTTGATGGCTTTTTCATCTATGGGCCTTGGGCTAATCCAACCTATTAATATCCCGATTTCTAGACGAAGTCCAACGCGTTTCAGAAAAATTATAATTTTATCAGAAACATATTGAACTTGGTGGGGATCGATTATCGGATGATTCGTCGATTATCGTCTTCAAATACAACTAGACTTAAGTAATTTTTAAATAGTAGTAGAATCTTTGTAAAATTTTAGTAGAATGCGTTTTTTTAGTTACGTCTTTTGCGGTTACTAAGAAAGCAAGTCTGCGAAGTATCCCACTTAGAAACCGTCGTCTAAGGAATTCGGTTGAACTATTTTAAACAAAACACTAACACTTCAAAACGCGAAATATATAAGTGGAAATAATTTTTAAATATGTGTAACTGATATATTCGCGTCCTAAACCGTTATAGTGTTTTATTTAAATGTGTACTCGGTTTTACTTGTCTTCGCTTACGCTAAACCGAATTAAAGTAACAGAACCAACAGTCGGTCTTCTCTTGGTAGATGGTATTTAGTAGAATTGCTATTCTGTATCACGTTGGACATAGTTAAAATATGGCCCATGATGTCCTTTCTTCTCCAGAACAGTTCTCGCCTGGGTCTGACGTCAACCAGGGTGCCGTTATATACGCCTTTAGGATTAGATAGTGTTGTTCCGTTTGGTGATGGCTTGTGGACTACAATAAGAGAGAAATATGTTAGCCTCTTGCATTATATTATGGAGGGTAGATAGAAGCCTTGTCTTCGCTTGTAAATAAACAAATAGCTGTAATAATCGAAAAGATATGTCAGTATTGTATGTTGTTTACGCGAATAAAACACTTTGAAATGCGAAATCTATTAACATATTTTTGATTTTATTCAACTATGGCCCGCCGTTACCCGAGCAGTCCTACCGTGACCACTCCTACTACAAAGCATCGGAGACGTTAAATGAAAAATAAGTAACCTAATATTTTTCGCGTTTGAATCAATTAAAAGTGTTTTGTTAAAATAAAGTTATTTATATACTGTCTGTAGTTAACGGGAGTAGTACACATTTAAATAAAAAACTTTAACGGTTTAAAAAGCGATATATTTTCGTGCTCACGGGAAGACGGCTGCAAAGTATCCGAAACGTCGGACTGTAGTTAAAAATAATTCTCAAAAAAGTTTTAACTACAATATATCGCGTTTTAAACCGTGAAAGTGTTTTATTTAAATAAACAAATATTTATAATTAACGATGAGGTTCTATTATAGAACATCAATGTTCGCTTTAATATATACTCATACTACCAATCACTAAAGAAAAGCAATACTACTCTTAACAGTGTGTATGGTGTATTTTTTCAAACTTGTCATTTTTGATCAACGAACAAAAAATTTACTTGAAATTGTGATTTTCTCACAAGGTTTATGTCAATTTAGCACTGGATTGTTAAACTAATGAAACCTCATAGTCACTAAGTAAATACCACAATTTCATGCTAATTTAATAAAGTCCTGAAAAATGAATTAACGATTACAATTAGCTGGATGTAAGCAAAGTCAACGACAACAGAAGATAGAAGTCCCACAATCCCAAGATGCAAGATTGCTGAAAAGCGTTACAAATGTCGTGTTAATTAATAATTACATAAAAAAAGAAACGGATCGTTATAAAAGTTATTTAGAATATTGAGGTCCATATATATACATGTATTTACTTTTGTCACTCTGTGGTTTGAAATCTGCCATATTTGCTGTGGTCTTTTGCCAATTTAGAAAAAATACACTATATGTAGTTTTAATTTAAGAAATTTCAATCCTGTGCAAATTGTAATGTTGCAGTGCTTCGATGTAACAAGCAAGCTGTCAGCAGGCGAGGGAAAATTTAAAAGTTGACCTTACGTTCGGTAAGTGTGAATATATCCCCTTTTCTCTCGGCAAGAACAAAGTCACTGTCGACTAACAAAGGCAGGTCGGAAAGCTTATCGTATATATTTTCGTTAATTTCACTGTTAGCATCGTAAAGTGCTAACCAGTGGTAAGGAAATCGTAGAAGATCTGTATCCTAAAATGAATATAAAACAAATCTTTTAAACTTATAAAATATTAAACTAACTTAATTTATATATATCCAACTAGCTTTTACCCGCGACGTCGCTCGCGTAACGTCGCGTCGTGCTTGCAAGTTAATCTTAAAATATACTATCGCGGACATTTGTTACGTAAGTACGGTTTCTTGAATCGCTTTCGCTGCGCATACGCAACTGAAGCCCTCAAAGATTTCCCCGCTTTCCACATGTTCCACAGTTTTTTCGATCTTATTGCTCGCAGCGTGATGATTTATAAATCCTTTTTAAAACTAAAGCCTTTCTCGATAAATGCTCTAACCCACACAAAAAAAAATCGAACCACAAGTTCCTGAGGTTAGCGCGTTCAAACAAAGGAACTCTTCAACTTTAAAATATTCGTATAGATGGATAAATTACCTAAATAAAGCATACTCCTTTAGATAATTAAGTGTTGTGATTCCTTATTTACTTACGTTGAACGCATTTTCACCGCCTGCGCAGTTTAGATCAGTTAGAAATAGCAAGACGTGATCATGTTGTTTACTGTGCTTTTTTAAAGATGACGATACTTGGACACCATCTTCCATGAGAGTTCGCGATAAATGAATTTGAGTTTCTGTCAATTAATACAAAAATTAAGAAAAATTTGTTTAATTGAAAAATCCATACATACATATACAATTTAAATAATGACAAAACTTCTAAGATGGCTGGGCAAACAACTAATAAATTAGTTTTTATATAATTTTCTAATTTAACATCTCACGCTTAAAGGAAACAATTTTTCTTTACTTAACAAGATTACTACAGCCATACGGAAAACATTATGAATTCACTTTTCCATTATTTTGTTAGGAACACGTTTAATTTCAAAAGAATAAAGGAGAAAACAGACAATAACACAACTCAACTTTTTAGTACAAGGAATTAAATACAATTTGGACCTGGTGGGAATCTAACCCAAAACCAGAAGCTATATATTGCTTCCATTGGGTCACCTAGCTTGTTAGTGTACGTGGGAAGTTGATGGATTCTCTTTTGAAGCTTATTTACTAATATTATAACATCTACAGTTAAGTAGCAATTCTGGACTAAGTAGAACTCACCCTTCTCCCAACATAAATCATAATGCAAAGTCGTTGGAGACCATTCGTTCCTAATATACTCCCGGAGAAAGCGTACAGTGACATTATCCCTACCAAAAACTGTTTTGTCATTTAGCACGAAACAAATTAATAGACAGACGAAATGATTGTCAATCATTTTGGGCATTTGATTAAAATCGATTAGTTTCAACATCGGGAAGCGTTTATATTCGATTGTGTAAGCATTCCATCTATAATTTTGCAAAGCCATCCTATAATTATTTAGTATTTAGCTCCTCGATATAATTAGTAATAATTACTTACACATTATCTTGTAATCAAAGTCTAAAGTTTACGATCCTTTATTATAATTGAAAACGTGATTAAAGACTACTGAAATCTATTAAATAGTAGACTACAACCTTAAAGTGTTTTATTTGAATTTGAACTACAGTCAGTGTTTAGTAGATACTTTGTCATTATTTAAATTCAAACATTATTGTTACGTTTGTCCTAAACATTGCAAAAAGTGCAGACACACACTGGATAATAGTGAAATCCCGTTTCCCCCTTGTGGGGCGAACATATTTCTGTGTCCGTTTCACTGACCCGAAACACTGGATAATACTAGTGGTATAATGGCAGAGAAATAGTTTGTCTGTAAATTATATAAAATATAATGCTTGACGTAGTAAGTGTGATGTTAGACAAACATCAATATCTCTCTCTGTCTTTATAAACATTCTATGCTGTTTATCTTTCTCTGATACCTGTCGCAAAATTTATTATCTTTAAATAAAACAATTGTGACAGTTTCAAACGTGCAATATATTAAATAATTAATCCTTTACGATGACGCCCAAACTACTCAATACTTAAGTTACACTTATTTAAAGACTAGCTGCGTCAGTGACTTCGTCCGCGTGGAATAGTTAAATTTGTTATTTGTATTCTTCATCTTTATAAATTTAAGCTGTTAGCCATGACTATGAGACTATTTATACAGAAATTAGCCTCCCCCACTGTGTCTACTGTGCATTGTTTGTGAATTTTATTGGACTATTTCGCCGTGTAGCATTTGACACATTAATCTGGTTTTATCATCCTTCTCCTCCTCGCATCCATCCTGAAAAAACACCGTTTTAGATGTTAAAGTATCAAACTTTCATTTTTTTATTAAGAGCAGGACTCACAACTATAACATCTAAACAAGACACGCTGTCAACTTATTTTCGGGTTGAGATATTCGCTTATTTTTTAATTAAATACAGAGTGGGTTCGATACCCACCGGGTCCAAATTTTTTTGAACATGTGATTTTATTGGACTTTGTCTGGAAATTTTGAAGTTAAATGGGTATTAGATATGTCCGAATTCCATCCAGGCCACGAACCACCGGCCACAGATGAAAAGGCCGTGAAGTTTTATCACATTTCAGTTTCAGTCTGTGGATTTCCGAATATCCAAAGCCAAAATAGGTCGACAGTCTTGTTTAGATGCGATATGGTAGGCGGAATGCCCATATAAGATATTTTAGATATACGCTTGACTTTCAAACTTTAACATTAACTGTAGTGTATACTAACAGCTTCTTATACATAATCTCTAGTACAAGAACAGCTGGAGCTAATAGCATGCCGTAGAGGGTAGTAATGATCGCTGGGTACATGTCAGTGAATCCTACGCTGCTGAAGGTCGATATGGATCCCGAACATCGAGGTTTACCCACGTGCAAGCGATGATGAATACTGGCCTGGATGCCCGTCTCTCGGATCTTGATGAAGCTGAAGAGAAGAGAGAGTAATCATTAAAGAGTAATCATCGAATCGATAAACGGTAAGCTGTGCTTGTTTTATGATTATCGGGGATTTAGTCGAATGCTGTGTGAATCATTGAAACTGGAACTAATCAACGAGGACTGGACATTAAATGGATGGTAGTAATAACGAAATTACATCCGTCTATAGCCGTTAAATTTAGGTACTTTAGATGTATCTGGGTTCTGTGTATATAACATAAGAACAACTCACTATTTGTGATCATGGTGAGATGTAATAACTGATAAGACTTTTTTATGATAGAGAAGGATAAGTATGGAATTCACAGATTGGAAGATGAAATACGGCAGCCATATTACATCTAAAGAAGATGAGCTGTCGACGTGTTTTTGGATGGGGTATTCGAAAATCCACAGACTGAAATCAAAACGATTAAGCTTGACGTCTTTGTCATCTGTGAACGGTGTTTGGTAATCCAGACAGGAGTTCGTTACTCCTACCAAACCATTTAATATCCAGAAGGCCAAAAAATTACAAATTGATTATAACTATGACGACCCGTTGCCTATTGGCAATACATTGCTATCATTACACCACTCATTAGATTAGATTAGATTTAGGAAATGGAACAATGGTCTGATAAATAAATTCTTTTCATACCAACGAACACATCAATCAAGATACCAAACCTCTGCTAATGACGAATTACATAAAAAAGCAGCCAACAACACAATTACTATTATTAGGTTATAAGCGAATTACAATATAACAAACAAACAAAAAATAAATATAATAAATGCGGAACTTGTTACTCTTTTGTTTTTTGTATGCGAAAACGAGGTCTATGGTCTCATAGTAGCAATGTATGGCCAACGTGTTCCTAATTTGTAGAAATATCGAAATTCCGTCCGCGTCACGAACCACCGTCCACAAATGAAAAAGCCGTGAAGTTTAAGCGTGTTTGGGTTTCAGTCTGTTCCGAATATCCAAATCTAAAATAGATCGACAGCACATCTTGTTTAGATGCTATAGGCTGGGGTATATCATCATCAAATGAACTTAACGTTGTCTGTACTTTTCTAACATAAAAAACTAACTTGATTTTGAACAAGTCCTTATATGGCGATCGCTTCTGACCCGGAACCCACGGATCTATTTCATTAATGTAGTCGATTTCAACAAGATCACACTTCTCGTCCTCTTGATATGTTTCCTGTATCAACCTGTATCCAGGGTTCAACTCCATGTGGAACGCGAAGAGGCCCTGGGCATTTCAAATTCAAAAATGCGAATAATAGGGGCGAATAGACAGCGGGAAATGTGAAAAAATATATATTTCCATTGAAATATGATAAAATGGTAAATATTTTGTGTTTTAAACCGTTAAAAGTGTTATGCTTAGATATGTACTGCTCAAATAAAGCTCAAAATGAATTAATTTTGGAATTTAAATCAGTAATTTTCTATTACCAAGATTGTAATTTAATAGTTTAATTCAGGCGAATCCAATATCTATGTATGTTTATATACGTACCTTCCTTATTTTCTCAACCCCGTCCTTCATATTATAGAAGTTTGGTTTCTTTCCCTTGGGTGCGATCTTCTTGTCATAGATTGCTTTTCTGATTGGATCGTTCAGTTTCTGCAATAACAAAGCGAATATATTTGTTGAAACGTAATTACGTCTCTGTAGATAAAGACTGTACAAGATTCTTATTTGTTAATAGGAGAAGGCAAGGGGTGAAATATCCCAGCAACATAAATATCTCAACAAGTACGCTGTCGCCCTGTTTTGGCATTATATATTCGGAACTCGACAGCCTGAAACCTAAACGCGATTCAACTTGATGGATTTTCATCTGTGGTCGGTGGCGCGTACCATCGATTTTAATGTCCAGAATTTCCAGACGAAGTAGAGCATCGAGCGAAAAAAATATAAATTGATTAAAAACACATTGGACCCCTCGGGGATCGAATCTATGACCCGTTGATTATTAGCCATACATCACTACCATTAGACCAATGATCCGGTCAAAATTCAAAGTAAAACAAGATAAGGAAAACAATAAAACAAAATCTGCTATAATCTGTGGTGATAAACTATAGTTTTCCTAATGACCTTACGTATTGTATGTTGACTTATTCAAACGCGTAGTGCTAAGTGCAAAGTAAATGTGTACGTGAAAAGATTAACCAAAAGTTTAAATAAAACACTTTAACGGTTTAAAACGCGATATATTAGTTAAACTTATTTAAAAATGATTTTAACTTCGGCCCGACGTTTGCTTTGCAGCAGCCGTCTCCCCGTGACCACGACTATCGCGTTTTAAACCGTTAAAGTGTTTTATTTAAATGTGTACTACTCGCGTAAACTATAGACAGTATTTAACCAAAAGTTCATTTTCTTCGCCATTTTTGTTATAACAGAGGAGAACCGACCAGACATGGGATCAATTTATGAAAGATCAAAATACATCATGGAAAGCCAAATAACATCTAATCAAGATGTGATGTCGACCTATGTTTGGCTTACATAGCGGGTACACGAGTTTACTAGAAAAAATTACTTGCGTCTGAGGGACAAAGAATTCAAAGAATGTGACTATATACTAGATATCAATAAGCGCTTCTATCTGGTTGGTAATATTTTTTAAATACTCTCTTACAGAGGAGTTTCGGGTTCATTTGTTGGTAGGTGGAATATCCCAACCATATAACATCTAAACATGACGCGCTGTTAATTTATTTTAGCTTTAGACATTAAAAAATGATCTTACCTTAAAAAAGTATCGGTTATATTCAAAGTCACTGGCTCCCAACTTAAGAGGAGAGTTGAGGAGATCAGGTAAAGATCGCACCGACGAACTAGGCGCGCGGAGTAACACTACAATATTCGCGCAGTACGCTGAATACAGTATTGTCAGAGCAACAAACAGAAGAAGTGTCACACACCTTCCTAAAAAATTACGACATAGGCTTAATATTTTCAATCTTAATAGATTGTTAACGGTTTAAAACGCGATATATATTAGTTAAACTTATTCTAATGTTTTAACTACGGCCCGACGTGTCGGATGCTTTGCAGCAGCGCGTAAATTACAGACAGTAAATAGATTTACATTTTATATAATCCCATCATGTATGCTAACATTATAAATCTGAAGAGTTTGTTTGAACGCTCTAACCTTAGGAATAGAAAGACCGTTTATCAAGAAAAGGCGTTAAACTATAAAACATCACACCGTGACCTAGAGGAGCGTAGAACCAGTGGGAAATGTGTAAAAAAACCGGGGAAGCTTTGAGGATCATCGTCGTCGCGTCTTTTGCGACGAAATGGCGAGCACAGTTAGTGCTCAATAGCATGTGAAATTTATTTAAGATTTCAACCTGCTACTTCATAGATACTATTAAGTACTGTAGTTAACACGAGTAGTGCACGCAATAAAAAATATTTAACATAAGATACATTATTTTATTACCTACGGCTCAATATTAGTGTAACACATTTTGATATACAGATATCCCCATGGTCAACTATATATTAGTTAAAGATAAATTAATGATATATTTCGCGTTTTAAATCGTCACATTTGTTTAATTTACATAATATATGTACCATTGATTTATTTCTAAACGTTTTTGTTTATTAATAAATGTTATTTATAACGCAGTAGCTTTTGTATGTTTTAAGATTAACGAAACGATAAAAGGTTACTGCTTATTAATTTTTAACATACCAGCCGCGTATCGTGGTTCCAAAGTGCAGCCTTGTTGCAGCACAGCGCCGATGATTAATATGAGCACATCAGCCCAGGAACCGTTTAGCTGCATTGGGTGCTGCAATCACATTTGGTTACTGTGACGAGTGGAATGAGCCGCTGCTAGTAAACTTATTTCATTGTAATTACATATATCTATATACTGTTGGTCCTCGGTAAGAATAGAATATAGAGAGAAGGGATTTTTTAGTTTTTCATATCTATTTGTTTGTTTATTTTTAAATAAAACACTTTAAGGGTTTAAAACGCGACATATTAGTTAAACTTATTTGGAAATGATTTTTAACTTCGGCCCGACCACTTCGGTCTCCACGGCTGCTGCAAAGCATCCGAAACGTGGGGCCGAAGTTAAAAATCATTTCCAAATAAGTTTAACTAATATATCGCGTTTTAAACCGTTAAAGAGTTTTATTTAAATATATATATAATATATATAAAAAGGGAAAATGTACCATTGCCACTGTAGCCTCCCATTTTGAAGCTATATACAAGAATAATGCACAGCTCAACACACACACAACGATAGCTATCCACACAGCCCCTGTAAAGGGGAGAGTAAAGATATTCTGGAGCAGAGCAAGTGGTGGTTCGCGAAAGACAAAGCGAACAGCAGTCGATCCCACCATAGCGATGTAATCTATCACCATCATCCGTTCTTGTGTGAATATTGTGAGTGTACCTGCGAAAACAGTTTCTATCATTATTCAAGGAAATCTATTAGAATGACACCTATCGAAGAAATAAATTATAGGGAATAAATAACATAGAGTTTTCTTGAATGAAGATGAGCCAGCGACACAGCGGCATTCTATACCCAACAGACAGAAACCAAACAGTGATATTTCTACCAACTATTATCCACATTTTCCAAAAAAAGTCTTACATCTTATAAAAAATATAAATTGCTTTTAAAATCATGTTCGACCTGGTAGCAATTTCATTTTCATTAATTGCTACTATTATCGAAGCCCGTCTAGATTTGAAATTAGATACCCAGATCAGCTTCCTTCTTCAAGAGATGATCGACGATTCCTTGCCAATTCCCGTTCTTATCTCTATAGCCCCAAGTATGCGTGAAAAGAAGTCGTTCTGTGGCATTGAGCATCTCGAAACATATCTTCACAACCATGTAGCTCATTTTTGTTATTGAGTCTTGGTGCAAAAACCTTTGGACAGAAGGCGTTTTAAATTATGACTAGACGTATGTTTTTCACCATGACCGCTACTGCATCTTGGAGCTAATCATGATAAAGAACATCGTAATTGGAAAGATTTAGGTAGCAGGTAAAAGTGAAGGCTGCGTAAGATCAGGGCAGGGATGGGTACAAAATGAAATCTACAGAAATACAATATATCAATCAGCTTGTTTGGAACTCGCAACTCTGAAATGCTTCTGTCTTGTAAATTCTGTTAACGTGAAGACCACAATTAGTCAGATTATTCCTCTATACCTATAAGTATTTAATGCTGGACTTGTGAAAGTAAGATACACTTTCACAAGTCCAGCAATAATATCGAAAAAGCAATCACAGAACTCTTCAATACTTCATAAATTAGTTGAATATTATTGGGTTTCGTACGCAAAGTGTAAAAACGGAAGCTTCGCTGTCTAGCACCGGGCAGGATTTCTTTAAAGCCAAAAGATGCCTTGTCGACGCGAGCGCATCTTTTGTAGATGTTATATGGGTGGGGTATTTCACCTCCCATTAAACTCCATGCTTGTCTGTCCTTCTCTATCATTAAAAGAAAACCTCCCCATTGGTACGAAAAGACCCGTACCAATTTTCTATCTCTCGCTTCCTTAGTTCCCACATATAATAAATACTTACAAACGATCATCCAAATGTTGTCTAGTATTATTACTATCAGTGATAACATTCGCCATAGTAAGTGTATGTTTTCTGAAATTTCTACGTCTCCGTGACATTATTTTAGTATCTCTATAATCATCCATTACTCCAAATTCACGACCGCTGTTTCCGGCTCTCTTTATTTCGGTTATCAAAGAACTATTTAAATTGTTCAAATCTGTTCTGGCATTTTGCCATTCACCTCTAGTCGAAAATATTATTTCGGAATGTTCTGATATTTTGTAAGCTGTAATATTTAAGACGTAAATATTAACAGTTGCTATTTTCAGTTTAGTAGTTTAGTAGTTTTTAATAAGTAACGAAAAAGCTCGCGTCAAAACAAAACCTCTTGGAAAAATCATAGAAAGGTAGAAAATATAAATTGTCGTGTAATTGTACGAAAACGCAATATATGATACGTAATGATAATTAAAGCAATTCGTCCAAAAGATTCCGAAATATTAAAAATGTGCATTTTTTACTTCCCTCTAAAATTGTTTAATCTTCGTTAACTTTCAATGTTAGATTTTTTAATTGCTTGTAACTTATTTGTAAATTTTGTTTTTGTAATTATTAAAACTTTAATCAATTCAGACTGTTGAAAATATTATGAACGTTATACGGATTATAGATTTCATTTAGTCAATATCGTTTTCTGTGATTCTATTAAGAACAATTAATGGTGTTACAGAAACTGTAATCAAATTTGAACATTTAATATAAAATAAAATATATCACCTTCAATAAATATAAATCTGTCAATGGCTTTATTTGCAATAACAACATCGCTATTCAGTGGTATATCTAGACGATCTACTGCACCACAGTTACCACCTTCATAGTGCAAAAGCAACCACCTATAAGGAGACTTGAAGTACCCTTGGGAACTTGCCTAAAATCATAAATATGTATAACGTAAATATTGTTTAAAGTTTTGAGGGCCATTTGTCGGTATTATGAAATATCAAGACGACGGCTGATCAGTTAAGTATCCCAGACGGACATGAAGTAAGCTCATATAAGTCACTGCTATTTACGATTTACATTAAAAGAAACTGCATAATTTATTCTGCATATTATATAACGAAAGATATTTAAAATAAAACAAATTTAAGTGTTTTAATGCGTATTAGTTGAGTCTTTAACTGGAACTGAACCTGTAGTCCCTGCGTGACCACGATTTTGCTAAGCACCCGAAACGCCGGGACGTAGTTATAATAAGCTAACTAATGGTTTTCTTTCGCTTTTTAAATTCGATGAAAGTGGTATTTAACGTGTTCCTTTTACGAAAGTTACAGATTGTAATCTAATTACTAATTAATAATAAAAAATAATTTTTATCTCTTTCTAGGTCACATTTTCAAGATTATATGGATTCTATTTCGTAAGACACATCACCCACGCGTTCGACACCTCCTTAACTATTTTTGATTTTAAACTCTTGTAAACGTTCTACACATAGATTGACATCTTATTGGCTCTGATAGACCGACAGCACATCCTAGTTGGTGTAAAGTGTAAATTTACCGTCATCAAAAATTGACCGCTCTCATGACAAGCACAGTCTGCGACTATGAGAATATTGTGGACAAAGTATTCGCTCCTATTTGGCTGCAAGGAGAAGCCAACGTTCATGTCAATATCGAATAAGTTTTTTGACAGCATGGCGATCGCCACTTAAATGAAAATAAAAATTTTTATTTCATTTCAAGCATTTTGATTGTTTAAAATCTATACTCTATACTAATATACAAAGCTGAAGAGTTCGTGTGTTTGTTTGAACGCGCTAAACGTTCCAGGTAAACTACTGGTTCAAACTGAAAAAATATTTAATTAATTATTTAATTTTGTGTTGGTTTTTATCGAGGAAGGTATAATTAGATATAAATATAACTAACATCGCGCTGTGACTAATAAGAGCGATGAACCATCGGGACATGTGGAAAAAAACGGGAAAATAATCCTTTTCCACATATGTTTTTGGGGCGAATCATGAAATGTTTTCGCAGAGTAAGCAACAGAAACTGAGAAAGATAATATCAATAACATTTCCTTTTTTCTCCACATTTATTATTCCTCCGCTGTTTCTTCTCTCTATAAGTCACAGCGCGATGGTTGACAGCCTTTTTCTATAAATGGTAAATGCTCTAAGTAAAAAGAATTTTGCAAATCCCATCAGTAGTTACTAAGATTAACAAACAAACTCTTCAGCTTTATATATTGGTATATATTAGTATAGATTATTCATAACAACAAATTCTAACACTTAGTATTTATTTATAACAGCTAGGCGCAAGAGATCCTGTGTTCAAATCCCGGGAAGTATAACAGTTTTGGTCAAGAAGTCTGATCAACAATGTAATAAAACTTACGATACAGACACAATTCATGCCCTCCACTTTTTTGTACTTACAAGTCTTCCAACACGAATTGGGTAGAAGAACCGAAGTAGGTTTTTCTTCAGACAAAACAAAAGCAGTTATCATTTCAATAGTTTTAAAATCAAAACAGTAAATCAATTTTAACGTGGTCAAGAACAAAGTAATACTTTTAAAATTCATATTAGCTTCGAGGCGGTATGACTTGTTTTGAAATAAAAATATTGTACTTGAATTTGTGTATTGCATAGAATATTTGACAAGAAAAAACTTGCTACATATTTCATTATAGCGGGTACAGTCGCTGAGAAATTGTGATTGCTATAAATTGAACTATTATTTTATAATGTGAAGTATATTGTTATTAAATTACACCTTTGGTGTAAACTAAAGATGAGTAATTTAATAATATAATGGAATAATAAATTAAATTTATAATTTTAATGAAACCATGGTCCAACGCTCTAAAACAGTAAATTCATCGCGTCGTAGTTAAAAATGATATTATAAATATATGTCATGTTTTAAACCGTTAAAAGTATTTTACTTTTTAAATTTTAATCACGTTACTATCATTTTACACAATAAATCCTTACATGTACAGTGTATATATGTAATGTATCTTTGTTTAGTAACAGAGCAAAAATATCAAAAGAATTCCTTTTTTATGTGCTTATATTAGTCGATATTATGCAACGGCAAGTAGTTGATAAAACTTATGTGTCCTGCCCGAATGAAACCATTTACTAAAGAGGTTTAATCAGTTCCAAGTAACCTTCAAAAACGATAAAAAAACGGTCGAATATTAGTAATAATGACAGATCAAACTACCGCTTCCTGTTTATCTTGTAAAAATAACACACATCGTTCGTGACTGAGACCGATTGTCGTAAATAATAACTATTGTATTCTCATTAGAAAAACAACATTAATTGTAATACTATGTATGGAAATGAGGTGATGCGAAACGATTATATTGAGATTTAAATACGCAGTTTTTATTCGACAATGGCTGAAGTGCTATTGATTATTGCCAGTCCATGTTTATTATACCTACACTAGTTGTGCCAGTAACTTTGTCCGCGTAGAATACGTATTTTGGGCATCAAAATTTGTTTTTGGTTCATCTTTATTTCAAGCTGTTACCCACAACATCGGTCGCGTCCCGCCGTTTTACAAGTTAAACTTAAAAGATTATTATTTGCATATTATAGTCGCAACGCGATGTTTTATAGCCTATACATAGCCTTCCTCGATAAATGCTCTAAGTCAAAACGAAATTTTCAACTCGAACAAACAATAAAACAAACTCGTCAGCTTTATATATTAGTATAGATATGACAAAGTTGTTATATACTGTCTATAGTTTACGCGACTAGTACACATTTAAATAAAACACTTTAACGATTTAAAACGCGATATATTAGTTAAACGTATTTGAAAATGATTTTTAACTTCGGCCCGACGTTTCGGATGCTTTGCAGCACCCGTGACCACGGCTGCTGCAAAGCTGCTGTTATATTCGTGTATGTTTGTCCTAATCTGTTACTTAAATTACTGAACCAATTTTAATTACCAACTACGACTATGTGATAAATCCCAGCCATATAACATCTAAGAAACTGTCAACCTATCTTTTGCTTTGGATATTCGGAAAACCACAGACTGAATCCGATTAAACGCCTTTTTTATCTGTAGACGGTGATTCGTTGACCCGGACGGATTGCGATGTTCCTACCACCCATATAATATCTAGATTTCCAGACGAAGTTCAACAATGTTTTAGAAGAATTATAAATATGTTGGACTCGGTTTGGTTTGAACCCACGCCGTGTTGATTATTAACCAACGACCCTGTTAAGAGATTTTTTTTTATTGTTTTGTATTTTCTAAACGACTGTACGCAGATAAGCATTCTGTTTGGGCGCAGCCTAATGATAGGGTTGTACATACGAAGTTACCTACTTAAGACCACTTAACATGTCATTACAATATACTGAGATAAATTACTTATAACCATTTTCCTTTGTGAAGTATTTACTTATAGGCGGTTAAGCTCTGAAGGAATATTTTATCAACGTAAAATAAAAAGTATTGTAAAATTGTTACTGTCTAATAATTATCTAGTTTTTAACAATCATACTGTTGACAGTATATCGCCTGGGGCTGATACTGGCTAATGTTCTTTTGCCACGTTAGTTAAATAGCTTACAGCACCATAGATGGTTTATCTATCACAAAAGTATCCAAGGCTAGCTCGTTTAAACAAAGAAACTCTTCAACTATATAGAATTAGTATAGATTAACTAGTACTATTAAATACATATCTTTTACTATATAAAACGCGAAATATATTATACTAGTTTATACTTTTTTAAAGTGGAGACTCCCGTGACTATAAATACTAAAAAACATTCGAAACGAAGTTCTTTGATTTCTTTCGAATTCATTTACAAACATGTAGTTAAAAATTTACCATGCCTTAACTATCCACTTTGATATAAAATCTAGGATTCGAACCCAAAACCTCGCATAACTCAGCGCTTTGCTTGACTAATGACATACAAAAGTGGCCACTATTAGATTTTTATTGACGGTACATAATCATAGAATTCACTTATTTTGATTTTAAATTAAATAATTATTTTTGAAATATGTTTTCCTCAATGGAACAAAAAGTAAAAACATTTAATTGAAACGCCCTAACGAGAATTCCAATTTCATCCTTATGAAAAATTACTGTATATTACAGTGCGCTTGCGTCGGGTGTCATAACTCTTCTCAGAAGCATGAATGTGTCTTTGTAGGTCATGGTATAATAGGGACACTATACCCATATTTGTCTCGACGATTAAATTAATACTGTAAAAATGATTCACGATGTACGCATTAATATTTAACACTAATAAAAAATATATCAAAATGTTGGTAACCCTGGCTTCGTTGAGAAATAGATAACAATATTTTTATAATCCTCTAAAGAGACAGTTCTTTTTTTTATTATAACAATATTACTATATGTACTGATATTACAAAGCTAAAGAGTTTGTTTATTTTTTGATGTGCTAATAGCAGGAGTTAGTGGTTCGAATGGAAAAATTATTGTTATGTTGAATAGACCATTCATCGAGAAATACTTTAGGCTATATAACATCACTCTGCGACTAATAGGAGCGAAGAAAATGTAGAAAAAAAAACGGGGCGAATAATTTATATTTGAGGGCTTCCATTGCGTTCGCTGCAAAAACGGTTCAAGAAACCAAAAAAATATGAAAGAATGATTCTTCTTTAAATGATCTAAAATGTGTCCGTATCTTTTAAGAATAAATAGCTAGAACGACGGGGTGCGGACGATGTCGTAGGTTCGAACCAGTAATTCTGAGATTAGCGTCTTCAGCTTTATAATATATGAATAGATTAAAGTCGCGAGAAGCATTCATTAATCACCTAACGACTCACTCATATAATTATTATGGTTAAAACGATTATTATGCACGACACGGTTAGTTAGTGTGATTGACATATGATATGCGTAATTATTATTGTTTTGTTTAAGGCAGCTGTATTTTAAATAACACACTTTAACTTAAAACGCGATATATATTAGTTAAACTTATTTGGAAGTTATTTCGACTACGGCCCGACATTTCGGATGCTTTGCAGCAGCCGTGGTCACGGGGAGACTAAAGATGATGTCTCTGACAAAGTAAAAAAACTGCTACGGTAGCGCCACCTGCTCCATTGAAGATGGAATGGCGAAATTAGCCGAGTCCTTGCAGAACTCTGCACTGAACTATTTCGTGAACTGCAATGAAATATTTCGCATTTAAAACCGCCAAAAGTGTTGTAATTAACTTGCATTATTTGCATAAACAAAGACGGGATCCACTAATTAAAAAAACCGTGAAGTTTATCGCTTTGGTTTCCTTATCCTTACTGGTTCGTCTTAAAAGGGCTCAAGGTTACAATTCGTCATGTATTGTATAAGGAAAGTAAAATAACTAGGTCAACGACATTACAGAGAACCGTAGCGAGGCTTAATGGTAAAATCTTCAAAGTTTGTATGTTTATTCATTATTGTATGTACCATGTACAGAAAAATATGATAGAGGAGGACACACAACCATGGAATTCAATTGATGATAGTTGACATACCTCAACCTTTAGCATCTAAACAAGATGCGCGTCGACCTATTTTGGCTTTGGATGTTCGGAAATCCACAGACTGATACCGAAACGCGATTACGCTCCACTTTTTTTCATGTGTCGTCGGTGGTCGGACCCGGA